CTCCCCGCTCCGCTCCGTCCCCACAGCGCCTATGGCACCGTCCCGTGAGACGCCTGCAGATTCCCGGGCCGCCTCCTCTGCGCAGGCTGTTGACACCGCGCGCCTCCTGCGCGAGGCCCACCTGCCAGCGAGGCCTGATTTCCGGCGCTCTGTGAACGGGATTTCCATTGCGGTCAGCGGCACTCAGCCAACGACGCCTCTTCTAACGACTCTCCGGAGAGCTTCCTCGGCCTGTGTGTGTGTGTGTGTGTGTGTGTGTGTGTGTGTGTGTGTGTAGCAGCCTTTTCCGTCTCCTGAAACGGGGAGCCCTCGACTGCGCCCTGCTACAAGGCTGCATCTATCTCTTGCCGCCTGAACGGCTCTCTCCCCTCCTTCCCCCTTTTATTTTCAGCCCCTCGGGGTAAGGATCATGGCAAGGGTTCCTTTCCTGCTTGTAACATGTGCCTAGGAGAAAACCAAACAAACAGGAATCGCGGTCTGTGGACAGATTGACTCCCACTTTGCCGGTTTCCCCCGGTGTCACTGCAGCTTTTGAAACACCAGTGCCCTTTTTCTTGTTTAAGTGATTAAGTTGGCTGAGAAACTCCAGCCTCCTGTGTAGCTCGCTCACCTTCTCCCTAGAATTTTAAGGGACAATGCAGTCTAGGCCATCAACACACGTATTTTCTAGGTACAGTAAGGCAACTCCTAGCTTGTTCCAAACACCAAGAGGAGGGAGGGAGAGATGCTCTTTTTTTTTTCCCCTTCACTGCTGAATAGAAATCATTTTTGGTATGAGGCTCATCAAATAAAGCATTTTGTCTGTTTAGTTATTATTTGTTTTTATTCAGACCCCGCCGGGACACATTTTGTAGATCTCTCCTACCCCGCAGTTCGTAGCCCCTAATATCTTTGTATACCCCCCCTTTCTTTCTAATACAGAACTGCGGATTTCTTTCCCTCATCCCTCCCTGCCAGAATTCCTCCGTCTCCCTTTCTCCCTTCTGCCCTCCTATTCGGTTCCTGTGGCGGCCCAGCCGACACACCACGAACAAGCCCGAGTCGGGGAGTGAGGATTGAGAAAGGAAAGAACACTCACGCCTGAGTGCAGACGAAGAGAAGTCTGATTTATTTCACCGAAACAGCTCCTTTTAAAGGCTCACATCAGCAAGAAGCTTTTAAGGGCACACAACAACAGAAAACACCAAGCAATCGTTTTTTTCTTTAGGCAAAGACTGGATTTCCTGACTCTTGCAGATAACATCAGATTTTCAGCTAATGAGTTTCTGTTATGGCAGGGTCAAAGAACAAAACAAGCTTAACAGTGTCCTTGAAAAGTAACAAATGTTGCATAGATTGTGTCGATGCCTTAATTGTACAGGAAGAAGTTATTTTCCAAATGTCAAACTCCAGTGTGCTATGACTGGGCCCCCACAGTTCCTGACCCCGGCATCCTAGGCTCCAGTCCTGGGTCCAGGTGGCACAGTGGGCAGCGATGGTGGGACCAGGGCTGCACCGGACCCTGTGTGGGGAGGGCACACACTCACCGTGTGGCAGAGTGCACATCTGGGCTGGGTTGTGCTTCCTTCTGTGCAAGGCCTCGTGTGCACCACCAACAGAGAAACGGGTGCTAGAGTGGGAAGGGTCCAAAGGCGTCACTGACGGAAGAGGCGCTCGAGTGGGAAGGGTCCAAAGGCGTCACTGACGGAAGAGGCGCTCCACGGACTCTGGGCACATCCGGAAGTCCCCCTCCAACATCTGCGAGAGAAGCTCGCTCACAACCTGGCATCCTGTCGCAGAGGGCTCTGGGGTCAGAACACACACATGACCACGGCCAGGCCCTGCCGGCCCGGAGCCATTGTCTGTGGTCTTAGTTAGCCCAGATGCTCCCCTCTCCCAGAAGGACGCCTTTGAAGACTTGATCTGCAAGCCTTTGCTGTATGTTCTGTCGTCGCCACTTTTAACAGGCTCTGTCCCTGCGACTGTGTCCAGCCCTCAGGCCCCTCTCTCACATCCTGCCCGCTGAGAAAAGTGCAAAAATCGAGCAAGTCCCCGGGGAGCCTGGCCTTCAGTGGCGGATGTTCACCTGGAACAACCGCACACAGACTGAGGGGTGCCCTAGACTGTCTCAGCGGACAGTCGCTACTGACAGATGCCTTCTCCCTGCCCCTTGAGGAGAGGCTACAAAGCCTCTGCAGAGGATGGGTGGATGGATATCCGTCCACAGTGGATATTTTAAATAAAGGTATAGGATCGTCTTTCTCTCAAGTCTACCCTCGGGAGAGTCTACAGTTACTGCAGACAGTGAAGACGTACCTCAAACTTCACACGCCACTAGAAGGGCGTGTGGGAAGAAGCTCTCAATGAAACAGCAAGTGATATCGTAGTTCACATTTGCACTGTTTCTGCAGTTTCCCCTGTGGAGCCAGGATGGGGCTTGGCAGGCCCGCAGTGGCACTGCTGCTGGGTACCTCGCACCCTGTGCCACATACTGGTGTTGGTGAGGCCATGCAGGAAGTGTCCAGGCATCGCCAGGGTCCTCGCACGGATGACTCTGGCTGTAATTAGCTGTGCTCAGAGCACTCACTGAAAAGCAGTCGGTAACCAGAGATTTCCATAAGAGCAACAAAGTATATCACTCCAGTGGACCTTCAACCCTCAACACACGCAGACACACACACACACACACACACACACACACACACACACACACACACACGCATACACGCACACACGCATGCACGCACAGTAGAAACCCGAGAAAACAAGGCAATGCAACGCCTCCAAGACCTCCCAGTTCCTCAAAGCTGATCCATGGGGGTTGGTTGGGGGGAAAAATCAAGATCTAAACAGGAGAATTACATGAAATGATAAAGGAAGAAACCAAACAATTGATAAGGTGCTTTGCAAGATCAAAAATGACATACCTATTGTGTACAGGTACAAATGCTCTGTGATGAGTGCTATCATTATGAATGTCAAAAATGCTATTAAAAAACGATATAACTAAAGAGATAATGATGGACTTAAATGATCAGTGAGCTTAAAAAAGACAGTAAAAAGCTACCTGGGCTAAACAAAACAAAGATAGGTCTGATGCAGGGAACCACGTGCACAGAGATACATTAAAACCAATAGGAGATTATAGAAAATGGATCCAACAACTTGTAGGTGATGCAAAGAAGACTGACATAAGATTGGTTTGGGCAGGGCATGGTGGCACGTGCCTAAAATCTTAGTACTTGGAAGGCTGAAGCAGGAGGATTGTCCAGTCTGCATAGTGAGTTCAAGGTGAGCCTCAACTGCATAGCAAGACTGTCTCAAAAAACCAAAACAAACAAAGAAAAAAAAAGATTAATTTTAATTAGGAAGAATAATAGTACAAATGGTATAAAAAACTTGCTTACAGAAATCATAGGAGAAAACACTCTGAGTATGGGGAAATATTTTAACATAGAGGTAAACAGTGCATATAGAACCTGAAAAATACAAGACCCCAAAAGGACTTCACAACACATCATAGTCAAAATACAAGAAATGCAACACAAAGACAAGATCTTAAAAGCTGTTAGAGCAAAGAAAGAACTCATAAAGGTAAACCCATTAGAATTATAGCACATTTCTCAACACAAAAGTTAAAGGCCAGGAAATTTGGAGTGAAGTTTTTTCAATCCCTAAAAGAAAACAACTTCCAATACAGACTAATATATCATGCAAAACTTTCTTTCAAAATTGATGGAGAAATAAGGACTTTCTATGACAAAGAGAACCTTACAAAATTTAAAACAACCAAACCAGCACCCTGAAATATTCTCAAGGGTTCCCTAGAATAGTGATGGCGAACCTTTCAGAGGTCGTGTGCCCAAAGTACAACCCCCAACCGACTTATTTATTGCAAAGTGCCAACACTGCCATCAAACATGAATACCGAGGTTTTAGTTTAGAAAATAGTAACTCCTAGATTAAATTCTTTTGTCTTCTAAGAAAAACAAATAACACACAAGCCACAGGCTCACCACCACTGCCTCAGACAGAATAAGACAATAAAGTTCAGGATGCCAAAAAGTCTGATGGAATGAACACAGGAGGCAGGAGTAGAGGAGGGTGGCGGTGGAGGAATTGAGCAACAGGAAGATTGTGTAATGACAAGAATAAGTCCATACCTTTCAGTGATAATTCTCTACGTGAATGACTTCAACTCCCCAGTCAAATGATACAGATTTCCAGAATGGATTAAAAGGCAGAACCCAAGAATATGTTGCATGCAGAAAACACATAAACCCGAAAAGAACTTCATAGGCTATGAATAAAAGAACAGAAAATAATATTCCATGCATCGGGACAATGAAAACAGGTTGGAGTAGCAACTGTATTTTCAGACAAAGTGGATTCCAAGCCAAAACTGATTGGAAGAAACAAAGAAGGTCACTACCTGTTGGTTAAGGGGACAGTTCAATAGGATTATGTGGCAATTATAAATAAATATATATACATCAGACACCAGCACAGCTATGTACAAAAAATGAACACTGGTGAACGTACATGTCAGATATCAACACAGCAATAGCAGGAAACTTCAACTCACTGTCACAAGTAAATCAACTAAACAATAGACCAACAAAGATATATCATAGTTGAACCACAGCATTGAACAAATGATATTGATATGCATCTCAATATTCCATTTTACAGCAACAGAATTCACAATTTTCTCGGCAGCACATAGTACTTTCTCCAAAATAGACTACACACTACCCCATGAAGTATGTTTAAATAAATACAAAAGAATCAAAATGACCCCAGGCATATTATTAGACCATAGTGCAATAAAATTCCCTTAAGGACCTCAAGTGTGCAAAAACACTAATGGCACTGTCCAAGTTCAGGTTCAGAGCCAGGCCAAGGTGAAGAGCTTGTCTCAGAAAGGCTGTGAAAGTGGAGTCTTTCTCGTGGCAAGAGTCCTAAGAGAACTCTGAAGAGACTCCGAGGGCCTCAGAGAAATGTGACGGCAAAAGCACCACTCACTGTCTTGGACTAAAAGAGAGTAAGATGCAAAAAAGAAAAAAAAGGACTTTGGACCTTGGAAACTTCACAGAAAAGAATCAGTCTGAGAAAAGGACTGAGTTGCAGTCCAGGGCTAATTCTTATGTAAAAATAGACCAAAGGGCTCAGGAGGAATGGTAAAAGAGCCACCAGAACTGATCCCATGTTTAGGACCAATCCCTGAAATGCTATTATGTTTTCTAATCTGGAAAAAAGAGCAATAAAACCCTAAATGTGACAATATAATGGGGATTCAATTATTAGTTTAGCTAACAGCTGGGTATGGTGGTGCATGCCTGTAATCCCAGCACTCAGGAGACTGAGGCAGGAGGATCACTGAGAGTTCAAGGCCATCCTGGGCTACACAGTGAGCTCGAGGCCAGCTGGAACTACAAAGTAAGACCCTGCCTCAAAAAAAGGTAGTATTTCTGTATCCGTGTTTATAGGTAAGATTGGCCTGTAAGTTTTGTGCAACAATGTTATACTAGGCTCAGGAAAAAAATCAAAGTATCCTTCTCTCCTTTTATATTTTCTGCAAGAGTTTTTATAAAATAAGGATAACCTGTTACTTAAAAGACTGCTACATCTCTTCTTTTATAATATTTGCATCTTATGACCTTAAGGAATAGAAATTCTAAACATCCAAATCAATTTTTTAAAAATTTCTTTTTCAGCCAACTTTGGTAATGATATTTTACTAAAAAATGTAGTCATGTCATTTGTTTTAAAACTAATAGCTGTATTTTTGAGGCATTTTTAACATAAAAAGATCTGTTCTGTATTTGTACTTTATTACCCTGTTTCTATTCTGAGTATTAATTTGTGTCTACTCTTTTTTTCCTTTTCAGGCTTTAAAGCTCTTTCTATTTACTACTTTTTGAAGAGAACCAGGATTTGATTTTCTGGTTTCATTCTATTATAAAATTCTTTGATCTTTCTCTTTAATTTCTACCTTTGCCTTTATTTCCTTCCTTCAACTTTCTTTGTTCTTTTCCTGCCTTCTGAGGTGACTGCTTGCTTATTTTATAATAAATTCATTTAAAAGTGTACACTTGTACATAAGCACTAATTTCTTCGGGTGTTGGGTATATAGTGTTCTAATGATATACCATGGTTTTTTATATTTAGCAATTTCCATGGAAGTTTCTTTTTAACCCATGTATTATCTTACAGTGGAATGATTTATAAAACTAGTAAACTTTCTTGGCTATATTTTCTTTCTATTTATAACTTTATTATACTCTCAGAGAATAGTATATATAATATCAATTCTTTAGCATTTATTGAGATGTCTTTCTGGTCTAATATATAGGGTTTCTTTTGTAAATCTATATACTTTGGAAGTCATAATTATTCCTCTGAAGGGACTTTTTACCATAAATGTGTTGCACATTTCTATATCTTAGTAACCCTATCTGTTTTCCAATAAACTTCTGAGAAAAGAGATCTAAAAATCTCATCATCATTGTTTTGGTCAGTTTAACCTTGTATTCTATTTCTCTGCCACATTCCCGGCTATTTTGTTGGTGGTCTCCTTGGAGATTATAATTTTATCAATATTAAATACTTCTCTCTACTCCATTACATTTTTGACTCTTAAAAAGGTCAGTATACATTTTCTTTTTCTTTTGTTGGTACTGGGCATTGGACTCAGGACCTTGCCTTGGCACTTACTTGTTATTTCCATTCTTTTATTTTCAGGCTTTCAGATATTTCATTTTAGGTATTTCTTTTATAAACAACATATAGCAGGATTTCTTTAAAACTTATCTGAAGATTTAACTCTTGCTAGGCATTTTAACCCATTTGAGATTTTTGTATATAGTGATTTTTAATGTATTTCTGGTATCTTAGTTTACTTTTTGTATCATCGTTTATCCGCACTTGCTTTTCTATTGCTATCTTTGCTCCTTTGGATATATTAGTGTAGGTGTCTTTATTTGCATGATTTGCTTTGAAAAGTAACTCTGTATTTGATGTATATGACCCCTTCCTATTTCCCTAATAGCACTGTATCATCAACTCTCATGTTATTGTGATCTAAATTTTTATCCTCATTTTGATTTTTAAATACATCCGTGGAAACTGTTGTGTTTTTCCCCACATTTAATGCTTCATTAAATTTAGCAAT